CGTAATTGCATTGTACTTACAAAACGGAAGATCTGTTATTCTGCGATTACTTCTTCAAGCATCATAATTCACATTTCGATCGCATAGATTGAATCTCTTTCTCACACTGATTTGCATACAGTGGGCGGCAAACTATGAATCGAACGAAAATGTATAATTATACCTGCGATGACTAGCTCGGGAATTTTTGCTCGGGTTGAGCAAATTCCGTGGAAAATTGATGACCGAAAATGATCCAAAATATAAACAACCCACGCAGCAGGATCGCAAGGCAAACCTCGAATGCGTGATGACCCATTAGCGAAAAAGCGGGGCACGCGTTCAATTCAGCTCACGAAAGTGAAACCCAGCCAAGCATTTCCGGTGCATTCTTTTTCATCTCGTTATGAATGGATTGAAACAATAATAAAAAAAAAACTAACAGAAATCCGCTGTGTTCGTGTTTGGCTTCGACAAATATACAAACAACCATCCAACCAACCAACCGTCATAAAGCTTAGTAGAAAGACACATGATCTTGCGATTATGGCATCGTTCTCCGGCTACCGCTAGTTAGAATACAGCAAAGCGAACCATCAAAGTCCTACGGTAGTAGTCTCATCAGAATCCCGCTGCTGGAGTCGACAGATGTGAGTGATCAGAGTGTGTAAGTGTGCGCTTATGATTCCATGGTTCAATTAAGACTGACCTTTTCCTTTCCTTCGCTTCTTCATAGTGCTCGGATGCTGCTGCTGCTGCTGCCACCTAGCTCGTCGTTGTTGACCGTAACCGTGCGTCTGTGTCTGGACGGGCGTACACCGGACGTGTTAGGCTAGTTCACGATGTTCTGGGAACCGTTATAAATAGCTTAGTCCGTTTCATCATCGAACCTGTCTATCAACGTCGCGCATCGCAAACTACGAAGGAAAGATCATCAGCATCAGAATTATTTATAGCCGAGTTCGAAGTTATGAACGCACTTTGGCTACCACACGCATATGGTTCAAAAAACCTGCCAACTGCATCTCATCAACTAGTTTCAAGAATCGAGAGCAAGAACCCCGGCAAGAAGAAACATTTTGCTCTTGCTCTAACATAGCACGATGGGTGGATGGATGGATGGATGGACGCTGGTGGGAGATTTTCAAGATACCGATGAGATCGACATGTGTACAAATGATGCTGATGCTTGTAAGGGGAAAATTCTCATGACTCAGTGTAGGTTCACGACCATGATGGCCATTCCGCATGCTAGTTGTCGTAAGGTTGCCGCCATAATTGACGGTGCTTTCAGTTTGCAGTAACGATCGACGCCTCGATCGTGCTAATTTGTCCACAGTGAATTATCGGTTGGACGTGATTTTATGAGCGTTTGAATGCACCGGTATCGGAGCACTTTGTAGGGCTCAAGATATTCTAACAGAGAGGACAAAGTCTCACGCGGAAGTGCTCCCCTCCTCGCTAGTCATGCAACACACAAGATTAACCATAATTCACCCTGATTTGACCTGTACCTGGCGACCGATTACAACGTGCTAATTTATGGACATTCGCATAAGAGCACTAGGTACGCTTCTTTGATCCAACGGAGCGAGAAATTGCAACTTTTCTAGTCTGAAAGAGTCTGAGATTACGACACAGCTCCGGCGCCACAATGTAGGTTGCGCTTTTAATTCGTTTTCCAATCCTCCAGAAGATGATTAAGTTTGATTTATGTTTCTGCTAAGCATTGGAAGGCTCGTTTCATGATCTGTGAGCAAATATGAATGCGATTTTGATTGGCTCGCGGGGAACCAGTTGGTGGGAATCAATAAATTGTTTCGTTTGTATACGAGCCAAGGAGTACGTGGGATGTGCTTCTTGGTGACCAGGCAATGCAATAGCTCAGTAAAAAGAAATACGAATTTAACGCTCAATGTTATCTACAAAATACCTACTAGAAATTCCCAAGAACTTTCATCAGCGTCAATGCTTTACCGTTTTCAAGAACTGAGCGGATGCCATCCTTGACAGTTGATAAGAAGCCATCTGCGGGTTTATGTAGCTCGTTATCGGTCATGATTGCAGTGCTATAGAATGCCAGTTGTTACAATGTCGGGGAATCAAACGTTTCCGCATTTGTAGCTTCTTGCTGAAAATTATGGATTCATACCTTCTACCTAGTGGACAGGCTACACATAGTACAAACAGTTGTGGATTAATTTTGATCATTTTCCCATAATTTTAGCTCATTTGATTATATCATGACTAAGGCATGAGTTTCGGTCACCAGCCGAGGAACTGCAATGGCCCTGACAGATCTGATCTATGCAGGCAATTCGGGGAGAAAGGTCACATTACAAGAGGCTGCACGAAGCAACCGAGATGCATGCCATGCAAAAAAGGGGAAGGAAATGACCATACGACGGGAGGCTTCAAATGCCCAGGCATCCAAATTATCCCTATCAATTATCATTTTCACACCTATCTTTATCACCTATCTCTATCCCTATCACAACTGCTTCTATCAATGATACTATCAGTGATAGAAAAATGATAGATAGATGATAGAGGGTATTATCAGAGAACCTATCAATGATGGAGAAGTTATTATCCATCCCTATCTTTTGAGAGAACGTTTGTGATCAATCATTATCAATTAAACGACGTATAGTATCTCCACCACATTTTTGGAAAACTGTTTCATCTCTATCATTTTATATTATCATGCATGCCGAAAAACCTGGCATAGTGGGAAAAATGGTTTGTATCAGATAAGAATCTGCCAAACTTGTACAACAAACTATACAAAACATATGGAAATTTTCGGAATCGTGGTGACGTATAGAGACCGGAAATCGATGTCCGACGCCATTTTGAAATCCAAGATGGCGGCTTCTGGTTATAATAAAATCTGGGAAACATTATAAAATACCCTACAATATGAGTATTTTTGGAATCGTGGTGACGTATAGAAACCGGAAATCGATGTCCGACGCCATTTTGAAATTCAAGATGGTGGCTTCTGGGTATCCTATAATCTGGGAAACATTATCAAATACCCTTCAATATGGGTATTTTCGGAATCGTGGTTACGTCTCGAATCCAGAAATCGATGTCTGACGCCATTTTGAAATCCAAGATGGCGGCTTCTGGTTATAATAAAATCTGGGAAACATTATCAAATTCACTTCAATATGGAAATATTCGGAATCGTGGTGACGTCTAGAGGCCAGATATCGATGTCCGACGCCATTTTGAAATCCAAGATGGCGGGTTCTGGTTATAATAAAATCTGGGAAACATTATCAAATACCCTTCAATATGGGTATTTTTGGAATCGTGGTGACGTGTAGAGACCGGAAATCGATGTCCGACGCCATTTTAAAATCCAAGATTGCAGCTTCTGGTTATAATAAAATCTGGGAAACGTTATCAAATACCCTTCAATATGGGTATTTTTGGAATCGTGGTTACGTCTAGAATCCGGAAATCGATGTCCGACGCCATTTTGAAATCCATGATGGCGTCTTACAGTATCAGAAAAAATTGAGAAACATTGACAAAATCCATTCAATATGGATATTTCCAGAACCAGAAGCCGCCATCTTGGATTTAAAAATGGCATCGGACATCGATTTCCGGATTCGAGACGTAACCACGATTCCAAAAATACTCATATTGTAGGGTATTTTATAATGTTTCCCAGATTTTATTATAACCAGAAGCCGCCATCTTGGATTTCAAAATGGAGTCGGACATCAATTTCCGGTCTCTATACATCACCACGATTCCAAAAATAAGCATATTGAAGGGTATTTGATAATGTTTTCCAGATTTTAGGATAACCAGAAGCCGCCATCTTGGATTTCAAAATGGCGTCGGATATCGATTTCCGGTCTCTATACGTCACCACGATTCCAAAAATACCCATATTGAAGGGTATTTGATAATGTTTACCAGATTTTAGGATAACCAGAAGCCGCCATCTTGGATTTCAAAATGGCGTCGGACATCGATTTCCGTTCTCTATACGTCACCATGATTCCAAAAATACCCATATTGAAGGGTATTTGATTCAACAATATTTCACAATTATAATGTAACCGGAAGTTACCATCTTGGATTTAAAAATGATGGCGAACATTGATTTCCGGTATTTAGACGTCATCCTCGTTCTTAATATACCCATACTGTAAGGACAGAAATCAATTTCCGGCATCTACACTTCGTCCCCGGTCCGAAATATAAATATTGATTCGGATTGGAATGTTTTTTATTTTGACCATTTGGGAGGTGAATTGTCCGTTGTCCATTATAAAATATATTATTTCGAACTATCATTGATACAGAAAGAATCCCTATCTCTATCATGTGATAGTTAAACTATCAGATGGACCATATATCATGATAGCTAAAGGAAATGATATTGTTTCTATCTGTCCTATCCCATCATTGAGTATATCTATCATTTTTTCTATCATGATAGTATCAAAGATGGGATAGGGGTTCTATCATGATAGACTGAGAGAGAATCTATCAGATAGAAACCTATCACTGTGATAGGCCTCTATCTGATAGATGATATTATCACCATTTATCAGATAATTTTGATGCCTGCAAATGCCTAGAATCAGGGTTCTACATTTTCGAAACAAAGAAAAGAAAATGAACTCTCCGCAAATCGCTTCATTCCGAGCAATATCATTTTCGTGTAAGTCGTCGTGTTTCTTGTTATCGAGTCACGATGAACATTCCTCTTTTCAAACATGACAAGACTATCACTTGTTTCGTGTCGAGTGCTTCAGTTCATTTCATTTGAAGCAAAGACTTGTGTCCATTGACGCCATGAATGACTCGAAAACTGCTTCCTTCGTTTTTTTCCACTGGCACTTCAATTCAGGGCTCATTCGACTTGTCACGACCTGACGACGCAGGCTTCAAAATATAGTATCCGGATAGTATCCGCACAATATAGGTTGCCGATAGGGAACGCATCCAGATTAGGTGTAGTAATAATATATTATTTTATATTGAACAAAAATTAAATTAACGACTCCAAGATGGCGGCCATCGGGGTCAGGGATAGTCTCAAATACCTAGGGTTACCATATTAAAAACTTGAAAAGGAGGACATTTCATTTGAGGTTTGGAGATTAAGGAGGACAATGATTCCCTTTCTTAACATTTCTATCACAAAATTCACGATTTGCAAAGGTTCAATTGAGATCGTTCATAACTTGTAGTCGTTACCAATTCAATTCATATTCTCGTTATACTTCTGAAAAATGCATCAAACTAGCCTTCATAATTCATTTTTGATACTTGGAAATGATCTAGTCTAGTTGATTTGCATGAAAACTACAGCTTTACAGCCTTAAAACCATCCCAACTTTTATCATGTTCAAAAATCAGGATACATGTCATCTAAGCAACCTGTTAATTTTACCATAGAAAATTTTCAAATAAACCTTCTATTTTACCAGACTTATTCCTAGTAATCAATTTTGACAAACACCTCGAAAATCACACGATCAACAACAGAGAGATTTTCGAACACTATAATTTATTTTCGAAATGTAAAATTTATGTAAAAATTCAGACACATGGAACACAGCCTAAGACAACCGACTAACCGACATGACACTTAATTCTGACTTATGTCCGAAAATCCTAAACGTCCAATTTAAAAGTGCAATGATCCGAACTGTCAAAACCATACGATTTTTTGATCTAGATAAAAATAATTTGTCCAGAATAGATCAGACACGAATCAAGTCACAATTTTTGCATGCGGGTTCATGGCTTAGCTAAATATTTCCCACGAACACGGAGCCAGATGTAAGTAGTGTGTTTTGTTCATAAATTTTATTGTTTTTGCTATGGTCATTCATGTCGGTTTGTCGGTGCTAAGACTGTGTTCCATTTGATAAATTTTCACTGACACTTCGAAAATAAATTATAATGTAGGAAAACTGTTGTTGATCGTCCGATTTTCGAGTAATTGTTTGTCAAAATTGATTCCTGGTTTGTCTGAAATAAGTCTGGTAAGCAGGTTTATTTGAAAATTTTCCATCTGTCAAACATACGGTGTGTCTCAAATATTGAGCGTACACCTGAATGGGCAATTTTTCGAAAGACTGTGAGTAGATAGATTTTTGAAATCTTGGCTGGTGGTTGAACAACTATTTATTGATTTGTCGGTATAGCTTTGGACTTTATTGGCAGAGTGTGTATGAAGTTTAAGTAATTTCAGTAAATTCATAATTTCAGTAGTAGGCGGATTTTAGCAAAAAATTACCGGCATTTTAAAGATCTTTATTATGACTAAAGATGAGCAAAATTTCAATATGTTTGACTCATTGTATTTCAAGAAAATGTGTTTTTGTTAGGAAATCTAGTTTTTCTAAAATAACTCGAACTTCTTACACACTCATTCAAATAATCCCAATACTATAACGATGACCAATTAATGGTTGATGAGCCAGCAGTTGTGCTCGTACAGCTGTTTTTCTGAAATGTACGGACAGCTGTACGCTCAATTTTGAGATACACTGTAAGTTAAAATACACCAAATGGATCGGCACCAAATGTAGGGTGGTTGACAACTGTAGTATACTCCTAGTCCCACCATCGAATGGCATTTGCTAGATAAGATGAGGTTGCGACATCATTAAACAAATAAGCTCTGCAAACAACGCTCTTTGAAAACATTTTTATCAATATGTTACTGAAAAAAATGCAAGGATTAAAAAAGAGGACATTTTCGGGCAAAAGGAGGATGTAGAAAAAATATTGAAAAAGGAGGACATGTCCTCCTTTAGGATACCATATGGTAACCCTACAAATACCCCACAATATGGGTATTTTCGGAACGACGACGACATGAAGGTGCGGAAAATCGATATTCGACGTTATTTTGGAATCCAAAATGGCGGCCATCAAGTTTCCTAAAACGTGTCAAATACCCTAAGATATGGGTATTTTCGGAACGGAGACAACGCGTGGGTGCCGAAAATCGATATCCGATGCTATGTTGGACTACAATATGGCGTCCATAGGGTTTCAGAAAAGGTGTCAAATACCCTACAATATGCTTAGTTTCAGAACAGGGACAACGCGTAGATGCCGAAAATCGATATCAGATACCACTTTGGAATCCAATATGGCGGCCATCAGGGTTCAGAAAGTGTCAAATACCCTACAATATGGGTATTTTCGGAATGAGGACAACGTGTACATGCCATCGGGTTTCACAAATGTGTCAAATGCCCTTAGATCTGGGTATTTTCGGAACGGGGACCACGCGTAGATGCTGAAAATCGATATTCGATGCCATTTGTAGGCTATTTGACACTTCTTCTTAAATTGAATTTCAAGATGGCGTCGCACATCGATTTCTGCCTTCTAGATGTCAGCCCGATTTCAAAAAAGACGGCGTGACATCAATTTTCGGCATCTATGTCTCATCCCCATCCTGAAAATACCCATATTTTACGGTATTTGACACTTTTCTGCAGATCGGAAGCCGCCGTTTGGATT